CTGAGCTACCTATGTTCCATCTTCATCTAAAGCTATCAGATTTTTATCAAATGTGCTTATAACAGAGATAAAAAAAGGAAATATTGGAAACTTTCTTGTTAAATTTTGTTACTGTTATGTATTTATTTTCATGCCCTGCTTATGAATATTTTTATGTATTCTTACATATGTAAATATCGTAAATGATGGATATTTTCGTAATGATGCATATTCTAACTAAAGATTTTTCTAAAAACATATTGGTCATTTGTTTACAACGAAATATCATTGTAATTTTTTTTCGATGATAATATGATTATAAGTAGAACTTTGAAGATCACTGATTTAGAAAGATCAGAACCACATGGCATCTTTCATATATGGGAATACACATATATATTCTCATAGAACAAAATCTTGTTTAGTTTTCACATGTATCCCTGTATTATCTTATAGCTCGAATAGTTTAGTATAAAAAATTGATACCATCTTATTCAACATAAATATAACATTTTCATTAATTTTGATATTTTACATCAAACTATATAGAACTAATACAGACATATCTAATATACATATCTAATATAGAACTAATATAGGTATCTAATATAGAATATTAGAATTATATTTTTTATTTATACTTTAATTATACTTAATGCTTTGCTTTCAGGATATATATAACATGAGGGAAATAAATTGATATAGGATGAATAATTTTTATATTTTATTAGTAGGAATAGAATAGAATATACCTTTTCAACAAATATACAGACCGGACAGTTATCGCAAGCACGTGTTATTTTTTTAATCCTGCTTCAATGGCCGACTTCTATAATAAAGGGCGGAAAACATGATGCTCGAACTGAGCAGAACTGAGATGATAAAGTTTGTCAACAGCAATATATCAGCCGAATCCATCCATATTGTAAATACCCTCGCTAGAACATTATTTGAATCATTGCTGAAAATCATTTTACATACCCAAAGCTAAGCAACATACAAAACCTACTCAAATTTGTGAAGGCAGATATGAACCAAGTGAGAGGCGATACCGATTCTGCATTTTTAGCTCTAAGTATAGCTAGCAATTGAACAACTTTACTAGAAGCTGATATTGGTGTACACATTGGCTGAAAATCCAAATGTATATTTTTATTTAAAAGATTTAAAAGATTTGTTAAAAGAAATCTGTATCAAAAAAATTATTTTCAATATTGTGTACCAACCGCCAAAAAAGTAAGAACAATTTTTGGAACAATTTCCAATAGCAAACAACTGCTCAGTGCAAAATATATTATAGCACCTACAAGGGACCATATATTGATCCTGCTTAAATATTTTAGCACAAGGAATATCAGTATATACTCCTGTGCTAATATTATTGGATATTCTAAGTAAGACAGTAATGAGTATCCATTCGTATAATTGTAACTAGTCATCACAGTCAAACTAAAAAATAAATAAAGTTATATATGGAAAAAATAATTGTAAAAGTTTGTATAACAGTTTTGTATGAAGTTACCTTGTCAATTCTAAAAATAATCCTAGCATCGACATTTCGTCTGCTGATTTCACAGAAATTAATTTTAATATTTGAGGTATTTTCAACACAAAACACATGCCTATCGTTATCAGACTCAATAAATCCGCAAATTGTTGCAGCAACGTCATTTTCGTATTTCTTTCTGCTCTTCAATTGTTGCTATTTACACATGTATATAAACTTTTAAATTAAATTGTAAGAACTTTTAATTTATATAACGTTTAATTTTTACTAATAAATTATAATTTTATCTCTAATCTCATATAAGGTAAGTCAATCATAACGCAATCAACAGAAATTTCATCCTTTCGAATTACGTTTCATAAACATGTATTGTTGTGTTGTTTTTTGTGTTGTAACATGTGTTGTTTCATAAACCTGTAACGTTTCGAAACTGTCACTTGTTTGCAACTGCCATTAGACAAGAAGTTGCTTGCATCAAAAGCAGATTACAAAAATAGATTAGTAACAATTATTACATAAAAATATATTTCTACACACCGGTATATCAATACTCAACTGTGGAGTTGCGGACATCACTAGGCGATCAGCTGATCTTGTGGCGCGACATTTGTATATTATTTACAATTTGAGTTATTCGAGTGCGGCTACGTTCGGAAACACCAACCGAGTGACTCCGTGTATCATTTTGTTCTTGTTGCTCATCAAATGTTAAAAACAAGGATAAAATGATATACAGGGTATTCAGATGTTCCGAACGCAGAGCTGTGCAAGCAGGGATACCTGAAATTCCATCTTCAATTACTGACAATATAGAAATCAAATAAAAGATTTTAATATAAAAACCAATTAAGCTAGTGTTATCTCTCATTCAGACATATTTTCTTGATACTTTGCTCTTTTGATTTCTAAAATTTGAATTTGAAAAATTTTGACGGTGAATAAAAATATAGACAATATTATCGATCAATAAAATTGCATATGACTTTAACAACTGTCGGTGGCTACTTCATGCGAATTGCAAAAATTCCCACTCTCAGCAAGAACTCTCAGCCAAATATAATATAT